AATAAATAAATAAATAAGATCTTTAAAAAAAAAAAAAAAAAAGTTGTTTTTCCTCCCTGAGGCCGTTTCTTCTGCCCCCACTCTCCTTTGTTTTCTGTTCCTTTAGTGAGACCTGGTGAAAGAAAACTCTGCCAGGAGTTGAAACCTGCCCCAGGAGCCGGTTTTGTGTAACCCCGCTGCGATGTTTAGCCATCAGCCCTGTAATTCTGCGTATTCATCTCCGTGGATGGGTGGCTGCGGAGGAAAATCTCTTTTCAGGGCCACGTGTTCACATTGCTAAGGGAGAGGAGGTACAAGATCAAAGCCCTCTGGCTGGGCACGGGCCGGCAGGCCTCCAGGCTTGTGCTGAGAAGTGTGGGATGGGGAATGAGGACAAAGTGGAGAAGGCACTTGGCTAAGGACGGGAAGAAGTTGCTACGTTCGTTTTCAGCGTAATGGAAACTGCCCAAAGGTTGGAAAACAAGGGAGCAGCGTCTCCACACCAGCAGGTTTAAATTGAACGTCAGGGACTGAGTTGGCTAACGAAGGCGGGAGAGCGGGCCATTGCTGGCAGCAGGTGCCACAGGATGGCGTAAGAGCCTGGAAGCTTCTCGGCCCTGTGCTCTGGTTTTGGGGGAGGCGGGAGAGAGGACTTGTGTGTGAGGAGGGTCCCTTCAGTTTTGTGCTTCCCCAGCGCCGCCCTTTCCAAGTCGAATCGCTTTGTAGCTTTTCTTGACGCTGCTCCTCGGTGCTTGCGGTTGTTTAACCGAGCTCATTCTTTGTATTAGGAACCGGTAAGTGATTCCTCTGTGGCGCGCCAGCCGTGGGGCGCGGGGCAGCCGCGAGGACTCGGCGGGCAGGAGGATGTGGCTTCCAGTCTCGGCTCAGCGGCTGGGAGTGGGACCCGACTTCTGTGTTCCTGAGTTGCCTGTGCGCTCAGTGGAGACTCACAGGGTTGCTGGAACCTGAAAACTGAGTGAGCGCAGCCAACGCTGTTCCCGTTGAACGGCAGCTGGGTACGAGCCCTCGGGCTTTGTTTTCACCCTTTTCGTATTTTTGTCTAGGTTATGGAAGTGCTACCAGTAAGGTTCTCTGCCAGATTTCTGGATTGGCCCGACAGAAATGTATTGCGTTCAGGAAGCCCTGGTCCCCCGAGGATGTCACCCGCGGGCGCAGAAATGAAACAGGCGGACGTTTCCAAAGGAGTCAGTGAAGTTTTTTTTTTTTCCCGTTCAGGATTATTTCTCTTTATTTCTTTGCCTTCTTTATATTAGAGCTTTAAGGGTTATTGTAGGGACTTACTAATGAGTGTCAAATAGAAATTCAGGTGTTCTTTGGAGATGGTAAACTAATTAGCACAGAACATTTAACATGACCCGAGACCTGTGAGGACAGCCAAGAGCGCCTCTTTACAAAAGGGCACATCTATATTTTGGTAGAAAGGTCTGGACCTTTCTGTGGTCCTTGAGGACTGTAGCCCAGGCGGAGGCGGCTTTTCCAGCAAGGCCTGGCTTCTGTGCTGGGGACCGACGTGCAGCACCACTGGGCGGCAGCTTCCCCCACCCCTCCTGGAGCAAAGATGGAGAAGGACACAGGCCTTCTTGCTTCCCTATTTCCTTTCCAGATTCTCTACCCTCATTTTTTCCTCCTTCCTCCGTTTCTAAAGGCTGTGTTTCTCCGGGCACCTGCGTGGCTCAGTCGGTTAAGCATCCAACTCTTAATTTCGGCTCAGGCGTGATGTCAGGGTCCTGAGATCGGGCTCTGTGTTGGGCTCTGCACTGAGGCGAAGCCTGCTTGAGATTCTCTCTCTCCCTCTCCCCTGTGCGCACTCAAGTCTTTCTCCTAGTATGAGTGGCAGAAGCAAGCTTTGATGTTACAAAACATAACCTCCTGGCATGGCCATCATCTAAGTAAAGGAACACGGGCCACTTGCTGAATCTCCATGTCCTTGTCTACAGAGTAACACTCCCCCAGAACCCCATGAAGGCCCGGGGTGGGGGAGGCACGCTTGGCCACACAGGTGCTCCTCTGTTGGCTGCTCTTTTTGACCCAAGTCCCACCTAACTGCTCGTCAAGCCTGTCGTTTCTGTCCTAAAAACATGTTCGTAAACTCAATCCCTTCATTTCAGTTCCAGCTTTAAGCTGGAAACCCAGTTCCTTCTAGAAGTTACACCAACACACTGGTGTATTTAAAATCAGTTTCATCATTTCCCCTTTATGGATATCCCTCTTCTTTGTATTGAGGGAAAAATCACATAGTTCAGTGGGTTTGTTCTGATGCCCGTCAAGCCATTTGTCTCCAAATTGTTAGAAGATCAATTCCTGCCCCAAGGCAGCTTCTCAGGGGCAAGTGTGTTGGGAGTGGCTGGGAACATATAGTCGCCGAGGATGAATCAGGTAACGAAGAAAACCTCATCATTTCCATGCTTTTAAAAACTAAGGTATGGAATGCTCCCAACCTGATTTTTCAGAAAGAAAAATTTGTAGCGGCCAATTTCTGGTTGTGGCGCAGAGGCTGTGTCCCGAAGCAGCACGGGGGAGAGGGAGGCCGCTGGGAGTGCAGGGCCCTGCCGATCGCCAGGACTTCACAGAGGCGGCCTGTGGGGAGGCAGTGACAGGAGGCTGGCAGGCAGGTAACCAGGATCACCAGGATTACCCCATGTTAAACATTAGAGAAAGTGTAGACATGAAATAAATTAAAATGAAGCTACCCCCCCCAGTAAGTGGAAGCATAATCAGAAGTCATTTCCTCTAACATTATGAGGTGGGGCTCGTTCTGACCAGAATAGGGGTATCCCCAGCGTCAGCTGATTAACTGCCGTGTCTTTTGGTAATGGACAGTCATGGAAATGAGCCGTATAAACGAGGAGTCAAGACACCTGAAACGTTTTGATCATTTTATTTTATAATCTTCAAAATTTTCTGCCATGAGACAGGAATGCATGATAGAAATGGCTCAACATCTTCACATGAAACACTTGGATTCATTTTCATTCACAAGTTTTCCTAAAAACATCTATAATTTCATAATCCCACCCACTTGCAACCATTATCACAGATTTAATTGACCATTAAACAGTAGTTGCCAGCAATAGAGAGCTGGGACGCTTTCTGCGCGTTAGTAGTGTCTTGTGAAACTTCCACCCAAGAGTATCACGAGTGTAAATCTCATTGTACACAGCAACCCCAGAGGTGACCGGTGTCCCTCAATAAACTCCCTGCTGGTCACGGAGAGCTGTATCGCCCAGGTGCTTAAAGAAATGCTTTTTCTTCTAGGACTACTTGTTCTTCTCAGTATTCTTCTCGCAGGGAGTAAGACGTGCTGGCCTGATATTATTGATGCTCTCTGAAAATTATATACAGAACATACTGAAAAAAGATGGATTGCTTGGAATCTATCTCTCTCCTTCTGAAGAGAACTACTTTGAGGTTTTTTTTTTTTTTTCTGAAAAACTGTAAACAAAAGGAAAGAGATATACATGGACATATACCTATACACATAGAGATATACACTGAGTATTTTCAATGTGGCGTATATCTTCCTATATAGATACACAGAGTGTCTACACTCACTCCTTCACACATACCCGCACCCTTACATACAGCATGTGAATATAAATGTGAGTGTCCTTGGGAGTTCACTGGAGTTTGTATATTAATTACCAAATGATGATGAGATACCTGATTTGTATTACTCCTGAGAAGGTACTAGAAGGGAATGACAGTTCTGATGCACTTTGGAATGGCACAATCACGTAAACACTTGCATACTTATACTTAAGACTTCTGAACTCATTCAAAGTTTCTAAACATGATCTAACAACAACAAAAATTCAGCAAGTTAAAAAATAAATCCAAAGTTTTTTATAATCAATGTATAAACAAATATATAGGAAATGCATATTTGTCGGTAATTATAGTAGAAAACATGTACTTAAGAAAAAAGTCTTTTGATAAGAAACAAAACTATCCAATGCATAAGACATGCATTGCCCAAAATAGCAGAGGACAGCCACATCAGAACTGCAAGGCTTACAGCAACTCTACCAGAGAAAAATTACCATATATAGCAAGTCTGTTAAGTATGCAATTTATAAAAAATTACTGACTGTTATTCATACTTCCATAAAAAAGAATTTGTAATTTTCAGTCTTACCCCCTCAATATAATCTGCATAAAAACTACAACTAAACTGATGAATTTCAAGCACCAATTCAAACTTACTGTATTTATATTTCTCCTATTATCAAAGGAACAAATTATGAGGAAGGCTAAGCTAAAATTAGCCAAGTAATTCTTACAGTTGAGTTTTATAGGCATGCGGTTTTTCTTCTTCCATTCACTTGAATGCCAAACATTGAAAAATGTTTTGGCCAGTAAAGGAATCCTTGGAGGAATCCATTATTTCTGAGTATTAATGGTTTAATATACATTAAAAGCTCTTTAACAAACCACTGCTTTCTTCGTTCTAAGATAAGATTTGCACACAAGAAATGAAGGGACTGTTCCTCGCGACGACTTAGAAAAGGGCAGCACCAGACGGCAGATGAGGCAAGCGCATCTGGACAGCTAGTGCTCGTGTAAGGAAATGACGCTGGGACTCAAGGCAACCCCACTACACGGGGCAATACTGAAGTTTTTAATAAAAAATTTCCACTAGACATTTGGGGTGGGAGGATATCTCAGTAAGAGAGCTTTTTTTTTTTTTTCTTCTGACTTTTCTGCATCCGGGGAAAAACAAAGGAGCACAGTCTGAGCCAGCAGATGAGTAACAGTGTTTGTGATGCCTCTGGTTGTTCCTGAAGAAAACTTGTTCAGATAACAAGGGGTTTATTTTAAATCCATACCACTGCTGTCAGTTTCCAGTATTTACATCATAGCACTTATGTACGCGGGTAATTTCTGAGACAACGTTTCAGTCTTTCCTGCTGTTAAGTTTGGTGAATTCTCAACACACACCAAAGCCAACCTTCACTGGGCCGGCCGGTGGCTCTAGAGAGACTGCAGGTAAGACTACTGAAAACAGATCGCGTGGAAACGCAGAGCTGCGAGAGTGATGTCCCTCACTCCCGGCCTGTTACCTGAACTGTCACAAGATCACATGCAGCTGAAGGAGGAGAGAGAGTCACACTGAAGCCCTGCGGTTAAGACAGGGCTGAGGGGTCTTGCTGGTGCTCGGGAAGAGTGGCCTCACTCTGCTCCTTGCCGCTCTCCGGGGACGGCTCCTCATACATGGGCTCACCGAGGTCGTCACTGCCCCCTTCACTCTGCTCCTCGACGTGGTCCTCACTGGGCGCCATAGTCTGTTCCAGGCTGTTCTCCAGAAGTGTGGGAGAATTGCTTATTCTACTTTCTTCTTCAGCTGCCTCATTTAAGGGCTGGGAAGGAGGTGGTGTGGGAGTATCAGACTGTGGGACACTTTCAATGGAAGAGATGGGGGCTTTGGTTAGAGTACCATCGGCTACAATCTCATTTTGAGGCAAAGATAACTTTTCTACAAGTTTCCACTGAATGATGCTCATGTCTTTTCCACCAGTTGAAATCAGGTGACTGTCATTATGAGTAAAACTGACATTGGTGACATGGCTGCTGTGGGCACTGTACTTGTGACTGGGAGCCTGGAAGAAACAGACAGGAAAATTAAATTCATTCTTTACATGCCTTTTTACAGCAATGGAAGCCACCAGGTAAGGGAGGTAATTCAGATCACAGCCAGAGTCAGCACGTCTGAGGAATGGAGCTAGCAGTCATTTCCTTTTAATACTCATTTCTATGGGAGAAACAGAGTAACATATATACATCCATATAGTCAGACCATATTATTTCCAAAAATAACGTAATAAATAGTCTGTCAGGTTAACTACGTTCTGCTGAGACGGGTAGGGGAGAATTTACAAGGTGGGAGGATGGAAGGTGATTTAGGAAATGGTCCAGGAGCTTTATAATGTTGATTGTATGTGTAACAAAATATTTTAGTAGGTTTACGAAACATTTAAATATCTACTGAAAAATTACAGATAAACTAAAAATAATAAAGCCTCTGCTGTCTTCTCTAACGGTCTTCTGGACCTTAACGGTGAAGGAGTAAACGAGCAGTGCCGGCCTGGACGCTGCCCCCCGCCCCGGGCCCCTCAGCATCACAGTGAAGAGTAACTGCACATCTTTTCTCACCAGCAACACAAAAATATCCCCAAACAAAAGGCCCTACAACACTTGTTTTTAATAAATTGATTTTACCTTTGCTTTGGAGCAGGGATACTGAAACAGATGAACTTTGCAGAAGTCATCAGCAACAGCGATCACCTTCCTGTTGTGGGATCGCACCAGTGCATTGATATCGGTCCCATCGGATCCTTCTGGCCAGACACCTTTGATACGGAAACACAGGGGTGTGGAAAAATGAGTCTAAAATATAACTGCGATGCCACGTGGGTTTATTTAATTTTAGAATATTAAACTTAGCTGCTAACATTTCCTTTACAAATTTCTTAGTGGTTCAATGCGTCAAAGGATGAAGTTTTACCTAAAAATCTAATAAAATTCAGTGAAAACAGCCTCAAGATGGAAAATTTAAAGACACAGAAATACTCACTAGTAACCAGCAGGTGGTGCTAACGAATAGTTTTAGCTTAACTCCCCTCCGCAAATAAGCTCTTCCTTTTTAAAGTTTCTAGTCGGAGGGGAAATTCTGTTTACTCGTACAGCAAAGTGCAGGAATACAAAGGTACAGCTCTAGTTCTTCCCAGCAGACACTGCGGAAGCCGCGTGAAATGTACCCTCTTTCTTTGCTGTTCTCTGCAGGCAGGCACTTCAAAGAAAACCTCCGAAATTCTTTATCTTAATGGAAATGCATAGGCCACCCACTAGTCTATCATGCTATCCCACAGAATCTTCACGCAACTATTATTTATATCCAGAGACATAACAAATTTAATTATTCTGAATCATGAGGCATTGGTGATCACATTCAACATAATTAGCACAAAACACGATTAAGACTAGATGGAGGCCTGCGCACAGCTGGAACGCCGCCCATTTCATTATCAGTTAGGAAAGACGTTAGGTTGAGGTTGGTGTAGAGGAGAGTAACTACCACGACTTCCAGGGCTTTGACGAAACCTCAGATGCGAAGCCTTCTGGCCAAGCGTCTGTGATTTCATGTTGGAGCCTTCGTTGTATCCCTGGGGGTTTCAGCTTTCTATAAGTTTGCTGTGGCCGAACCAAGAAAGAAGGCATGTGCAGATTTCTACAGAAATTACGATTCCATGAAAGATTCTGAGATGAGGAGGGCTGGTATCTTTCAGAGTGCAAAGTGATTTTGGAATGTAAAGAATTTCTTTGGGTTGAGTTCAATTAAGTTTGTCCTGTGTTCCTGAACTATGAAGCACAAATATTGGGTTATGGAATAGTTTGTCTTGATAAATCAACAACAACAACAACAAAAAAGACTAGATGGAAATTATGGAATACAGAAGGGCTGAGATGCTGGCCTCCTGTGGTTCCGTGCTATTCCAGAGAACAAGTAAGTTTTTGGTAAATTCGCTAAAACACATCTAAACACTTCTTAACTGACATCTCTTAAATAAATATTACCAGCTATTGGCTACTGTTTCCGCTTCACCCAGAATAAGGAAATTGTATATGGATGAGTTAGAGTTAGTTTTTAATTTCTTGTCAGCCCAGTACTCTCCTACGTCTCTAGAGCAGTTGCATTTAGCACAGGGACCTATAATGGATTATTTTTCTCACGTACACAGCAAAAAGAACTGTTCTGCTCTACGATCAGGCTGGAAGAGAGAGCACAACTGTCACAAGGCAGAGATGTTGTTAAAGGGAAAAGTATTAATATTCTGAACATTGCTTTAGGTACTGACGTCCCCCTCGTATCCAGTATTCTAACTACTAAGTAGAACATCTCTTTTTTGTACTTCGCAGACAAGGCTTTATTATCTTAACTTTTCCATTTGTCTTGTAACTTCTTCAGAAGGGAACCCGCAGATCGGGAAGGGCTTAGAAAACAGTCACAGGAAAAGATTTTGAGAAATATTTAAAACATGAGATTAGGAATGATTTCCAAATTTTATCTTAAAATAATGTCTCCGAAAAATGCCTTTGTATTTTGACAAATGGTGCTGGGACACCTGGACATTCACACGCAGGAGAGTGAGAACTGCTGACAAGGACGTGGGGAAACAGAATCCTGGGAAGTCACGCTAGTGGGAATGTAAATAGAGCAGCCACTTTGGCAAACAGTCTGGCAGTTCTTCAAAAGGTTAAACACAAGGTTACCACTGGACTCTGGAATTCCACTCCTAGGTACATCTCAAGGGAAATGAAAATATGTCTATAGAAAACCTTGAACATGCTTGTTCAAAGCAGCATTATTTGTATTAGCTGAAAAGTAGAAACAATCCAAGTGTCTCGTCACCTGACGGCGGATAAACAAAATGTGGGGTGTGCATACGATATGCGTACAAGGGCTCTCACTCAGCCATAAAAGAAAGTGCTGACACATGCTACAGTGTGGATGGGTCTTGAAAACACTCTACATGAAAGTCCAGAATAAGCAAGTTATTAGAGAAAGAAAGTAAATTAGTGGCTGGTGGGTACAGGGGTGGGGAGGAGTAGGAAGTGACTGCTTATGGGTAGAAGGTTTCTTACTGGGGTGATGAAATGTTCTCAAATTAGACAGTGATGATGGCCACACTACAGTTCTAAAACCACTGTACTGTTCTCTTTAAGAAGGTGAAATTATGTGTTATGCTCAAGCTATTTTAAAAATGCTTTTACAAATTAAAATACTTCAGTTTTCACGTGGAGGAAAAAAAATGGGAAGGCAATCTGTGCTATTATGTATACTTCTTTCAAGTGTCTTTTGTACTAAGGACCAAAAGTCTGCTGGATTTTGCAGAGAACTTCATATTGGTTTGATCCTAATACACCTGATTTCTTGAATCTGACATTAATAGCGATAACACTGAAGAACACATAACAGACTCTTTTTTATTTAGAAATTTAAGCAAGTAATTACTATGTACGAGAACACCCACAAAACCATCTTTTCCCATCAGGTGTCATGTTCTTACCAAAGACTTGAAAGCCTAGTACGCAGGTATAGGTTGTCCAATCAGTGTCCTTACAATCTGATCGATTCCTGATTAGTTTGCAGCCATGTGTAATGTCCCCTTTAAATTCAGAAACAGGAAATATAGTCATAGTGCCTGTATAAATGTATTTGAAAATGTATCTTGATTCAAACTAGCTATGTTTATTTGTAATCCATACACTGAAATCCATACACTGCATTAAGATACATTTAAAAAGGAAAAATAAAGTGTTCCCTTTAACAGGGTTTATAAAATTGTAAAATTGTTCCCCACTGAAATTGTTCTTTCTTTAAGAAGCATAAGTGCCCATGTATTATACTCTTTCCTCTCTCCAGGAAGAGTTAAATACGAAGCCATATTAGAGCAGCAATCTCGGGGCACCTGGGTGGCTCAGCGGGTTAGGGCAGCCATCTCCCTGAGTAATTTCTTAGGACACATGTCTACATATGTAAATTAATTCGTTACTTTCTTGGAGAAGTGAAACTACATTTGAGATTTTCACTCTTTAGCTCAGAGAAACATATGTCAAGTCAGAGAGCCAGCACGCACTCTCTGCACAATTCACACTCTGCACAGCTGGTTCACTTGCGCCTTGGACAGACCTGTCTCAGCTGGACGTAATCATTTGTACTTACAGTACAGTATCTCATAGTCTCCTGAGTTGGACATTATATACTTGTTGTCCGGGGACCAGTCAAGGTGTGTGATATAGCTGGAATGTCCCTAGGGAATAAAAGATCAACTATTAGAAAGCATTTAGCGTTCTGAACAATCAGGAGTTTAGTAGCCAACAGGTTTTCTGAGAAGCCATTCATCTGGAATTCCTAATGTGTACAGAGGAGTATCACAGCGTCTAGAACGGACTTGAGCTCACAGAAGGTCTCTAGTTCTTTTTCACCCTATCTTGCTGGGAACTGAAGGTGCAGGTATGCAAAGATACCGAGTGATACACGAAGAGTTCCAGAACTCCGGAGTGGGGGTGAAAGGTGGCTCGGCTGGTGGAGCATCCGACTCTTGATTGTGCTCACGTCACAATGTCAGAGTCATGGGATCAAGCCCTGCGTCAGGCTCTGTGCTCAGTGTGGAGTCTGCTTGTCCCTCTCCCTGTTCCTCCCCTTGCTCTGGCGTTCTCTCTCTAAAATAAATAAAATCTTAACAAAAACAACTTTGGAACGAAAAAGGGATCTCACTACAGTGGGACACACTGAGCACCTGGAACTTGGGAGTATCTTGTTGGCCTTTCCACCCAGACAGCAGCAACGAGCACCTACTACCTGTGTCAGACTTCCAAGAGGAGTCTTACAGGCTTGTGCCTTAAAGGACACTTCACAGATCACCTATCATTGGGCCTTTTTTCAAGTCACTGGTGTCCCCTTTAGAAGGGCTTAGTTTTCAAGAACGAAGTAAGGGTTCCAGGTTGGTCACAGAGAGTACATTTTTCCTGGGCTGCTGCTTAGCACCCACGGTACAGCCGCAGAGCTGGGGAATGCGGCACAGATACATGGGCATGGGGATGTCTCCTACAAAAACTCTTATCTCCAAAGAGTATTTGTACTCTTTCAAAACAGCTGAATCCAATATGACCATCTGACTCATTAAAACATTCCTTAAACAGGAGACATGATCTTTTTCTGGTCTAGTTTTTACTAACGCTGTGGGAATTAAGACAAAAAAACCTATTAAATGCTGTATTTTGTTGCCTTTCTATGTAAGCATTTGAGGATTTCTAAGATAAATCGCAAGTCTTAATGGTGGCACAATGAGACTCAAAAGCATTTTTATTTCCTATAGTCTGTGGTAAAGCATATTTACTTTCTATTGTACTTTTTGAATTACTAGCTTTCTGCATGTATTTTTTTAAATTAAAAAACTCAAAGTACATTAGATGCAGTTTCTAATGATTCACATAGTATTCTAATTTTTTTTTTTTTAAGATTTTGTTTATTTGACAGAGATCACAAGTAGGCAGAGAGACAGGCAGAGAGAGAGGTGGAAGCAGGCTCCCTGCCGAGCAGAGAGCCTGATGCAGGGCTCGATCCCAGGACCCTGGGATCATGACCTGAGCCGAAGGCAGAGGCTTTAACCCACTGAGCCACCCAGGCGCCCCAATTCACACAGTCTTCTAATTACTCCATTATCCTTCTGAAGTCTGACACCTCTCTGGAGCTATGATCTCCCTCACAGTGCTATATGACACATATATTTATACATTTAAATACATTTAAATGCTGTGAATTTGAGAACTGTGAAGTGCCTGAAATCCCGAGTTTAGGAGGTATACTGGAAAAAAAGTTGGGAATCACTTGCTAATAAGCAAAATGGAGACCTACCAACTTCACAAGAAATCAAGTTTCAAAGCCAGAAGGACACATATGGTTACTGGATATTTTCTGAATCTGGCAGGAGGATAAGGTTCACACAAATCCTTTTCATGGTACGTATGATGCCTGGTTCTGGCATTAGAAGCCATGCCTCTCAGATAAGACAACTGCTGGCTACGTGCACGAAGGATATTAACAGATTAACTAGGCAAAGTGCCGTCCTCCAAGAAGCATTCACACTAATGTAGAAATATTTAAAAATATCATCTGGGACTCTGTGAAAAGGCTTTAATAACATTATTTAGAGGAGCATCAGAAGCACTGTATATGTAATATTCATGTAGTTCCATCTGTATTGATTGGACACAGCACATATTTAGAAGGTAAATGAGTATAAAGTATTCTCAAAAAGGGCCCCTGAGGGGCTCCTGGGTGGCTCAGTGGGTGAAAGCCTCTGCCTTCGGCTCAGGTCATGATCTCAGGGTCCTGGGATCAAGCCCCGCATCGGGCTCTCTGCTTAGCCGGGAGCTTGCTTCCCCCTCTCTCTGCCTACCCAATATAGAAAAGACTTCCCCCTCTCTGCCTACTTGTGATTTCTGTCAAACAAATAAATAAATCTTTAAAAAAAGGGGGCGCTGAGTAGAAAAAGTACCCAATACAGAAAAGACTTTGGGGAAGTTACCAATTTATACTGGAAAAACGAAATGAGTACTTTTTCCCTGGTATGGATTCCAATATATAAGCAAAGAGAAGATTAAATGTAACTGGGGTCTATAATGTTACCTTCCCAGACAGCACCATGGAGAGTCCTTGCCCTGCCCAACTCACAGGCCACGGAAGGTACGTGCACTGCGTGAGGGAAAGTAGCCTCACATTCCACCCCAAGGGCACGAGACACAGTTGGGAGCAAAATCTAGTATACTTCCTTGAAAAGAAACAGTAAAGTACTCTAAGCTGGCACTTTCATTACTATTATTAAGTAATCATAGTAATAGATGAAGCCCAAAAATACTACTATGAAAAAAAATGAGAAATATTGTAGCTAAATCTTTGTCACCGAGAGGATCATCTAAATCAGTGAGTTGCAACACTGGTTGTATATTAAAATTACATGAAGAGTTTTTTAAAAAGTAGCAAGGCCTAGAGTTAGGGATCTAGCCTTTTCCCTACGGAGGTATTCAGGTGACACCCCCCCCCCCATCTAGAGCAGTGCTATCCAGTAGAACTTTCTGTAGTAATTCAAGTGTTGTGTATGTACACAGTCCAGTGCAGCAGCAACTAGCCACCTGTGGCTTCTGGGTACTTGAAATGGAACTGAATTGTACTTAGTTTCACGAACAGAAAGTTCTGGTTAGTAGCTGCGATGCTGGAAAATGCAGGTAGAGAACAGTCCATTCGTACTCTATGGATTTGAAATACCTCTTTTGTTATCTAGATTTCCATATAAACAGACATCTGTTTCTGGACTCTCTTTTCTGTTCAATTAGTCTATCTGCCTGTTTCTAGCCAATTGTGATAGTTTTGTGGGATGTGGAAAATTTCAGATGAACTTTAGAACCACTTTATCAATGCTGAAAACTTAAGGAAGACGGCATCAAATTTAGAGAGGAATTTGTAGAGAACAGATATTTTTATCAAGTCTTTTAACCTAAAAACACATTATGTCTCTATTTTTTCAGTTCTTTTTTTTCAACCATGTTTCCTGTGCTTTACTTGCTAGATTTATTCTCAAAACATCTTTTTGTTTTTGTTGCTTTTGAGAACAGGATTTTCCCCCTTGCAATCGCATTTCTTTTTTAAAAAATTTATTGATTTATTCGAGGGAGAGAGAGGGAGAGCATGCGCAGAAGCAGGGGGAGGGAGAGGCAGAGGGAGAAGCAGGTTTCCTGGTGAGCAGGGAGCCTGACTTGGGGCTCATCCCAGGACCCCCAGATCATGACCCAAGCCAGAAGGCAGACACTTTTAGACACTTAACCACTTACCCGACTGAGCCATCCAGGTGCCCCCCATCCCATCATGTTTCTGATGCTCTTTTGCTAGTTCAAGGGAAAGCTGTTTTTTTTTTTTCTTTTTTTAAATAGATATATATATTTTTTATTTAAGTAACCTCTACAGGTCATGTGGAGCTCTAACTCAACAACCCGAGGTCAAGAGCTGCATTCTCTTCCAACTGAGCCGGCCGGGTTCCCCCAGGGAAAGCTATTCTTCAGTGTCCTGAACAGCTGTCTAGTCAATCCACATTCCGCCCCCTTCCCTGAAGGATGGAGCTGAAACACTGATTTCCCAACCCTTTCTGCAGCTAGGGTGCCAGAAACCACTGAGTGGGGCTTCCAGGGAAACTTTTAGAGAACGGACTTAGGAGGAGAAGTACCTTTCCCCGGTCTAATGCTTTCCTCCTGGAACGAGGATCTGATAACCAGAGAATGACAGAATATAAAGAGAGAAAGATTTTGAGTCTCTAATGACTTCTGCTTAAATGAGAACACATCCCTCATTTTTTTAAGTCACCAGGTACTGCATATATCCTGTTACAGTAACAATGAATCCTAATGCCTTACTGAAATACTGGTAAGTTTTATGGATTAGTTTCTTAGAGATTTCTAAGCAGACAGTTTTAGACTTTTTTCTTCTTTGATGTAAGTTTTCAATTATCAAACTCCTGGCAAAAAGGACACTTACTTTTACCAGCACTTCTTTCCTATCCTAACAGACTCTGAAACAGTGCATCATTGCAACTTCAATATACTTCATTTCCTACGTTACCATCTCAGAGCAGCGGTGTTAAAAGGAATATAGGAATTCGAGTCAAGCAGAAAGCCAGTATGTTGGCAACCGGGTGTAGAATAAAATCATCTTAATCCTACTGCAAGTAGAGTAGAAACTTTAGGTTAATCAGAACACTCAAACTCTTTCAAGGAAAATACACAATTATCCATAATTAGAAAACTCTTCTTGAACTTTCACAGATTCATATTAAATGCTGAAAAACACCCCTAAGTACAGCCCAGGGCTCATCTAGTTACCGAGTACAAGGCTGCTGCTGGCATCCAACACTGAGTGGAGAACATTCTCAGCACAGTGTATCCACGGTCAACTCTGGGTCTCCCAGCAGCCTGCATGAGGGCGCCCACTTAGCAGAGAACAAGTCCAGGGGGCAGAGAGAGGTTTCGTAACTTTATAAAGAAATGGTGGAGCCAGAGTTTAAGCCCAGGTCAGAGAACACAGCACTTAATTCATGCTTATCTTTTACTCATTTCTCTAACACTGAAGATGAGCAGAAAGTAATTTCAGAGTAGCATTTTAAGAAAAGGAATATACAAGTAACTAAGGACTTTTTCAGTACATTTCAAAATAACACAGCTGAGATAAAGAAATGGTGTGGAGGGGCGCCTGGGTGGCTCAGTGGGTTAAAGCCTCTGCCTTCGGCTCAGGTCATGATCCCAGGGTCCTGGGATCGAGCCCCACATCGGGCTCTCTGCTCAGCAGGGAGCCTGCTTTCCTTCCTCTATCTCTGCCTGCCTCTCTGCCTACTTGTGATCTCTGTTAAAACAAAACAAAACAAAACAAAACAAAACAAACCTGTGTGGAAAGTAACAGATTGTAAAACTTCACAATCCTCAACTCACATTCCTCAAGGAATTTCAGATAACCAACCAGCGGTCTTCAAATTCTTTTTATCTATAAGATCTTTCTTACACATTAAATATTATAAGAAATGCCCAATATGCAAAGCAAAGAAAATCATATCCATACCAGCCCGGCTTAGCCCCACTCCAAACCTTAGGGCTTTGCAGGAGACAAGTTAAAAAGAGCTCCAGAACCCAAAGCCTTTTTTTTTTTTAAATAAACTTTTCTATAGAAGCAGTTACAGTATCAAAATGCTTAGGGGTGCCTGGGTGGCTCAGTCACTTAGATGTCAGGGTCCTGGTTTCAGCTCGGTTCATGATCTCATAGTCATGTGATCAAGCCCGGCTCTATGCTCAGCATGGAGTCTGCTTGAGATTCACTCTCCCTCTGGCCCTGCCCCCACTGACTGCAGCTCGTGTGAGCACACTTGCCAAGTGCGCACGCGCTCTCAAAAAGAACTAAATCAAACTGCTACACAGTCAATGTGTGATACAGCCATGAACCCCTGAATCCTACAGTTTAATCAAACCACTTTTTCTAATATGTACTAAACACTAAGAAGATGGATGTTTTCATGGAAAGTAAAAGAAAAAAAAAAGGTTATTTTAAATTATATGGTCTAATTAGCAGGCAGAAAATGCCACAGATCTGGTAGAGCCAGCTTGGGGTGTGTGCTGGAGGGAGTGCAGAGCACCTAGGGGGAGCCCGTAAGCAGTGCTCCCAGAGGCAAACCTGGGAAGTCAGAGGACAGAGACAGGTCACAGAAGAGAAAATGAAAGGCTGCCACAGACAAACAGTATAGAGGGATGACTCCATTCTCTCTTCCTCTCCATCCCTCAGCCTGCCCAGAGAGGTCAGGTTCATGAGGAGCAGATTACTTCTTGGAAGATCACTGGGGTTTCTTCCAAGAGAAGGCCTGGGACCATGTGTAGTAAACAAACTTGAGGTGTCTGAGGTTGCTACATAAGAGCAAGTAAATTCAATGACTGGAAGAGCAAGTTTTGTGAGTTTACAGAAACTGCAGTAGAGGTCCCCCAGGAAGCTCCGAGAGTTAACTTTACAATCAACATAGTGTAAGAGTAGAAAAAGGCCAAGAAGTAAGAGTCATCATAGGTCCCAGGCCGGCAAGGATAGTCCAAGGGTACAACCTGACTGCACATATGAATCTGTCCAAAAAAGTGTCATTCAGGTGGGTGGTCACCAAGGAGTCACAGAGGCAAACGTGGACAGTACCCACCTAATGTCTAGGATAGAGGGACCTGAAGACCAGTTCCAGGGGTAGCTACTGACTACTGGGGATGTAGGTGCCAAGGCTGCCAACCTCCTGATTATACTCTGGTTTCACATGCATATTTTTGCCTGAAGGGAAGTACTGGCTGGAGGATGGGCATGTCCTGTCCCCTTGGCATTTACATACCTTATTTTAAATGAATAAACTAGCATTCTGATTCTGAGTTGGTTTCCTGAGGTTTGCTTATAGAGAGAAAACCTGATTGGCCAGAAGAAACTAGGGTTCAGTCCCTTACCAGTTAGCTTTTTTAGAAGTTGGTATTTTATAAGACAGTTTTGGAGAACTTGCATGATGTGAGTCCATTTCTCTAAAATGGATCTTGTTTTGTTTCTTAGCTTATGATTGTGAGCGAGGCCTTGGCCTGTAGTAACTTTGTCAAGCATGCCTTGCTTGTTCAGTTTTCTTGGATACCAGTCGTCATCTCAACTGACATTTGCACATAAAATGATGCCACAAAGAGGGACAGGCTCCAAGTCCTTGGTTAACTTATTAAAGGGAGATTCTCTAAAGTTCTAAACTATGGTGGTTACTTAAATACTGACTAGTACTAGTACTAGAAATAAAATAGAAACAGCATTTGTATTTGCAACTCTAAGAGTAGTTCCCAGTCTTCACAACAATCCTATATAGTAGGAACTGTTATAATGCCCAATTTTAAGATAATAAAATTAAGACTCAAAGAAGTTAATTAACTTGTCTAAAGTCTCAATCAAGTAAGCAGCAAAACCAGCATTAGCTCCCTTCTGTCTGTCCTATACCCTAGCAGACAAGAGATAAAAGCAGTTAACATGAAACTGTAAGACCAGCTGGTGGAAGCAGACAGCAAGGAGAAGTGACAGCAGGAAGCAGAGCACAGAACATTCAATAATTAGAAAAGCAGAGTAGCTGAGCCTTTTATTATAGCCTCCAACAGTACTATCAACTTTAACAGTTCCTAAGGATATCTCAAAATAGTACTTTCAAATGTTTTAAAGATAAAAGCTGCTTAATTGGAGAAGGCCAAGTCTCATGCAATTGATAAGCTTGCCATTTCTCAACACTTCCAAGGTCATTCTCATTATCTAGTGTCATTCACTGCTGTTTCCTTTCTGGATCAGTTGTACCATAAGAGCACAAGACAATGAGATACACACAGAAAAATCTGAGGCATTTAACATTACACTGGAAAGTCTGCACTACTAAAAGAAGAGGGTCAGCCCTGGATTTGCCACATCAAGATGTGACCAAAGACAAGTCCTTTATCTTGTCTGAAAATCAGTCTCTACATCAGTAAAATAAGAGCTGAGCCAAGTGTGTGCTACAGAACTACCTGTGAAATTTTGTGATTCTACAAGATTATACTTTAATTGATATACTCTTATTTATTAAAATACCAACTTTTTTTAAAAGGTTGGAGTGAAAAATTAAGAAAAACTTGGTGCCCGGTAGGGTAAACTACAGTAACCTGAAAATTTCTTTCAGTGGAACATTTCATTTGCTCATGTGGTTACAATGAAGCATTACTGTACTATTTTGTATCACAAATATCATGATAATCAATTAAAAGACATTTCAATAAATTAATGGGTAATGATTCATAACTGTTATCAAGGCAAAAAAAATATTTTGGATAAATTCTAAAACTTTGATGTTGCCTGTAGATCATTTTATAGGCTGGTTTTAGCGTATGGTACAAAATATGTGTGTGCATGTACACATGTGTGTGCACAAAGTATATAAACAAGTCTCTTCTTTGAACAGTAAATGGCCTGGGTTTCACTTATGTATATGTTTCTAAAAATTAAGTTTTTTATTTATCCCCCTAAAACTATTTTGTGATGTGTGCCACCACTAACCACTATTTCATCAAGTAATTTTCTAAACCTTTCCTAACATACACACCAAGCTACTTCATTTTTTATAAAAATAATAGTTAACACATATTGAGTACCTATTATTTGCCAAGCACTATTCAAAGTATTTTATACGCATTAATTTATTTTAATCCAGTGAAGCAGAAACTGCTCTTATCCTCATTTTATAGATGAAAAAACTGAAACAGATTTGTAAGTAACTTCCCAAGGTCACACTAGCTTGGAATTGGTGAAATACAAATTCAAATCCAGGTAATCTGATCCCAAGTCGGTGCTCTTAACCACTATGTTATACTGCCTGCCTTTCTTGTCCTGCCCTCACCTCAAATGTATACTTTTTGAGGACAAGGAATAAATCTTACATATATTCCTGGTGTCTAGAACATTTCTTAAGTTAGCAGAATGCTTGCCATAAGGTGTACTCAGTACGTCTGCAGAACTGAATCAAGTTTACCTTACAATGATAACAAAGTCAATCAGAACAAATTCAAGAAGAAAAAAAAACAAAAACAAACAAAAAACCAAACAAATTCAAGGAAATATGCTTCTGTTAACTCTCTTAATGCAGACAGATCTCCATATAAATTATTTTACTTTAGTGGTAAAAGAGGTGATACAGGAGATTGCAGGGTGTTGGCGGTCGACAGGAATGTGGGACACTGGGATTAAAAGTGAGATACCCCTTCATTTCTGACTCACATCAATTTTCAAAAAGTGTTATTCTAAGGGTTTCCTATGGAAATAGCTTTAAGACACTGCCTTAAAACTAGTCAGAAACAGACAGATATTAAACTCCCATCAAAAGAAGAAACACTTCTAAATCACACAGGGAACTGCAATATTCTGCTGTTAAAGTAAATCTGTTTTCAAAGAGATTAAAGTTTAAAGCAGTTAAGGATAGTAAAACAATGGCTATATCAATGTAAAAATCTAACTTATCTCAAGTAAAATTTTCCAACAATTTTACAGCTTAATTTATTTTACTTCAATACTTACAGTGCACTTTCCATGTCTGCTGTATTTTCTTCCATTTTCTGAGACTACATAGAGGTAAATAAAGTTGTCATGAGATCCTACAGCCAGGAGGGTGCCATCTAGAATGAGACAGGAAAAAATGTTAACTAGAGAAATGTACTGAGCTGCTATTTTATTGGACCTGTACTAAATGAATGATATTTTACAAATGTTAAATCTCACCAATTTAACTGTTATTTTGCATTTTTTTTTTTGAGGCAAACCAAAAAAGACTTACTTTTTAAAGATTTCTTAACATATAATGTATTATTTATTTCAGGGGTACAGGTCTGTGATTCATCAGTCTTACACAATTCACAGCACTCACCATAGCACATACCTTCCCCAGTGTCCATCACCCAGCCACCCTATCCCTCCCACTCCTCTCCCCTCCAGTATGTTTCCTGAGATTAAGAGTCTCTTATGGTTTGTCTCCCTCTCTGGTTTCGTCTTGTTTCATTTTTCCCTTCCTTCACCTATGATCCTCTGTCTTGTTTCTCAAATTCCTATCAGTGAGATCATATGATATTTGTCTTTTCTTATTTGGTATTTGATGAATGAACCCTTCCATCACTAAGCACACTTGAAAAACATGGCCATCTAGTCCAGTCATTTCTTGGAGATACTCAAAGGTCGGGGACTCTGGGGTCATCTCCTCCTAGTTAGTTACACACTGGCTCCAGGGAAGTTAACGAGCTCTTATGGGTCTAAGTACACAGCACTCATGAGCTGAGTGTTCAACTGCTCATTTCAGCTGAACACACATGACTCTCCAGCTTGGGAAGGGACTATGTTCTCTTCTTTTATGGTCTCTTCTATTGTTCTTACCATAGAACAGACGGTCAATAAAGTCCAACTGATCTTTGGATTTTAATTGCTACATTTGTAGCAATTTGCTAGGACAACACTAAAAAAGCCAAGCCAAACAGAAAACCTTTTCTGCTTTAAGATAACTTGTCAGGCTTATAGCCTGAGCAAATATTCTTCCTTCCATGTTTAACTCAGAGAACAGTATTCTGCGCTTCCTTTTAAACAACTTAGAAGCAATAAAAAAGAGCCTTTGAATCCCACACTGATCTAAGGACTGGAATATATTTTCAAATATAAGCAAATGTCATTCACACTAACTCCAGGGAAGAATAACATGAATGGAAACATATTAATAACGGGAAAAGGGAATGGGAATATTATGGAAACATAATTAACATTCTGAATAAAGTATAAAGAATTATTCAAACAAGGCTAAATGAATTTATCAAATTCTTATGAGTTGCTGAGTATTTTATATAAGTAACAAAATCATGACTATGTAGCCAGTAATACAACTAGATTTTAAAGAACTTGAACAGCCTCTAATAGTGTGTATTTTGAATATTACTATAATTTATATCTTCTTATATACAAAAAAGATTGCTAAATAGATGTAACATTCAGCCTAATACCTATTCAAAATCCCAAGTATGTGTAATTCCCCCAAAGTGGGATTTGACTGTATTCTGCTTTCAACTGCAAATGCAGTTGTAACAGTTCATTCTAAATTTGCTTGATGATTTAGAATGTTGTTTAACTTTAGAAGATCTTTTGCAGTTTCCCGCAACAGAATTTAATCTGATGTTGGGGGAAACATATTCATTAGTTAACAAGTTTAGAGAGTAAAGAAAAAAGTAGTCAGTTTTAGTGGAAGTGAAAATATGCACTGACAGAGAAATGCTGTGAGTGCCAGGATGGGGGTAAATCCGCCTACCTACTGAGTAGCGCACCACGGAGAGCTGTTCATTCCCATCTGTGTGGATAGAAACTAGATCTCTGGTTTCTGCATCTAGAACAAACCACCTGTTAAGAAGTAAAAATCAAAGTTTTCTTCAGATATTAGCACTTAAAGAAAAAAAAAAGATTGCTGACTTTTTCTCCCTTTTAAAAAATTTCAATGAATTTTAATAATGCCTTTAAATATCACGTTTCCATCATCCACTGAAGGATAAATTCTGCAAAATGTTGCTAAATACAATGTATATATATGGACCTAGGCACGTTCTCATTTCTATTTAGGTAATCACTCAATGCCAACTGGGTCTCTTTGCTAGGTAGCATCTAAACAGAAAGTTAAGATGACAGGATCAGTGTTTTTGAAGATTAAACCAGAGTTGGGGAAAAAGAAATGAGTCAATTGAAACAAAGGACAATTAAGAGCCAATTTCACTGATGGTGACCATATACAATAGAGAAGGTTATAAAAGGGAAATGAACAATAGAAGACACAGAAAAACCTTTAGTAAGGACGTAGGATAGGTTGAGCTGAACACTGAGGAAATAGGCGGTTCAGTGGCAGAGGGGGGACAGCTGCACAGCTATGGAGTTGGGAAGGAGCATAGGCAGTATGAAGGTCGGAGGGGAAAAGCACAGGGCTCTTTATTCAGTGTGATTTCAACGGAACCAGCAGGGGGCGCTCTGCCTCTCCAATACCTCCACATGTGCTCTGAATTTGCTTTCAAAGGTCGTTTCTTGTCCACATTTACAGGAGAAGTCAAAATGTGAACAGCCTTTTGAGAGGTAAAATAATGGTTAAATTTAACTACATTATAAATGACTTATCCAATATTTTTATAAGAGCACTTGAAGAGGTGCCTGGGTGGTGCAGTTGGTTAAGCCTTGGACTCCTGGTTTTGGCTCAGCTCCTGATCTCAGGGTTAAGAGATGGAGCTCTGCACTGGGTACCCTGCTCAGTGTGGAGTTTGGTTAACACTCTCTCCCTCTCCCTTTGCCCACTGCCCCTCACCCCGCTATGCTCATTTGCTCTAAAATAAATACCCCCCCTTTTTTTTAAAGGGCATTTGAAGGGAAAGATGGTGCTTCAGAAAAAGCTGGCAAAATATGAGGTATAAAGCAAAGAATGGCAACTGAAGACAACTAGAGACTGGATAAGTGAGAGGAAGGCAGGTTATAAAGAGCATACATAGCTGCTTGGAGGACTTTAGAGTTAGGCATGGCCTGGCTCAGATTAGTCCCTAAATAAGTATTTGGAGAACGAATAAACAAATATAAGGTAAGTCTTGAACATGACGGAAGTCAAGTTTTAGGAAGAATTATTATTTTTTATTTTTATTTTTTAATATTTTTTTTTATAATTTATTTGACAGAGAGAGAGAGAGATCACAAGTAGGCAGAGAGGCAGGCAGAGAGAGAGAGGGGAGGAAGCAGGCTCCCTGTGGAGCAGAGAGCCCAATGCGGGGCTCGATCCCTGGACCCTGGGATCATGACCTGAGCCGAAGGCAGAGGCTTTAACCCACTGAGCCACCCAGGCACCCCAGAATTATTATTTTTTAAAGATTTTATTTATTTGACAGAGAGAGACACAGCGAGAGAGGGAACAGAAGCCAAGGGAGATGGAGAGGGAGAAGGAGGCTCCCCACTGAGCAGGGAGCCCGATGCGGGGCTTGATCCCAGAACTGTGGGATCACGACCTGAGTCGAAGGCAGATGGTTAACGACTGAACCACCCGGGCACCCTCAGGGAAGAATTGTCTGATGTGATGAGAACAGGACAAGACTAGCAAGTTTTGTTTTTAAGATGGGAAAAAATCAACCACTAAAATAAGCCAGTGAAGAAATAATGACAGTTCCTTGTAATTTTGAAGCTTTAAAACTAATACCTGGAAAGAGACCATTTCCCCTTCAGATTAAAAGAAATATTATTTAGGAGAGAGAAAAGGGCATGAAAGAATTAAAAAAGTTTAGTGATGTCGCTTAACATGCCTTAGTGCATGCAAGGTAGAAGATGAAAGACTAAAAGATGCTGACTTTTACTACCTATCAGTGAAATCCCTCTCTAATTTAAAATATTCATGAATGAATTTTAGTAACTTGTGAGCTATGGGATGAAACTTCTAGGTAGCTAGCCAATTCATAAATTCTGTGTTCTATGTTGGTAAGAGAAAGCGCTTCTATGTGAATACCTGAGTTAAGGCCAACAGCAGGAAGCTGGCACTCTGAAGCTCTCTGCTGTATGTCTAGCGATCATTTCCATTTCACAAGGTGTGTTACTTTACTACAACTGGAGAGTACCCATAGATTATCCGTTTCTTCTGAGAACGTAATTTATTAATCAATTTTTATGGCTAACATTGTTGAACTCCTCTGGGGCCAGAAAACCAAAGCTGATGCCAGCGAACGGCCTTTTCAGAATCAGGGTACAAAACATCCCAACCCAGAATGATCAGACAGACCTAAAACAACGAGATACAGTGCCACTCTGTAGGTATCAGATGTCAAGTTTTTAATGAATTGAAACTTTATTATCTTAGGCATTTGAAAAATTATCATTTTTTATCAGGAGAGCCCCAACTACTGTTCCCCCTGACCCCAAACTACTGTTTTAAGACTGTTTCCAAGTCAATTTAATCTTCCTGGGAAAATGACAAATAATTTTCTCTTTTTGGAAATTCCCTTAAAAAGTAGTAAACAAAACAAAACCCCCAACAAACCCTAGAATATCTGTTGGTGTAACATGTAGAAACCTAAAACTCTGAATTGTTGACTAATAAGAAATGGTAGCTATAAAAAAAAAAAAAACCCTCCAAAAAACAAACCTGCCTACTTTTTCTAGTTCTTTAATTATATATCAGAGGTTAATCCTATTTTAATCAAGAATTTTTAGTAATAATTCAATAACTTTGTTATAAGAAGTACCTAACTTTCATAGGGACTCCAGCAATAATTTAAAAATTCCCACTCTTTCCATTGCAAGAATTAAGTTCTAGCTTCAGAAAAGACTTTTGGGCTCAGGACCACGGTCTCTAACAAATGTCTGGGGAAGACAACAAATCCTCTAGCAAAGGGAATTTTCAAGAAATAAATATTTAAGTTTCATCATGGTGTTGCAGTATGTTCTTATTTCAGTCCAGAGTATATATACTGGAACCAAGCTTCTGCTTTAAGATAATGTGGATCATTACCAGGCCTAAAGGACCTAAGGCCTATAGGCCCAAAGGACCTAATGCATCCTTCTAAATGTAATTGCTCAGTAACACAGAGGGGAAATGTTTGGTGATATATTTAAATTACTCTGACTTGTGCGTCAAGGACCAAAGCCTAGTACCATCATTTCTCTTGACTTTCTAAAAAGATCTATATTGATTTCTTTGGTCACAAGAAAAGAATCAAGATTTTAGAGATGGAAAGTATATTTTAAAGCCCCTAAGTGAATATATAGATTTTTATAATGAGTTAAAAAATATTCATCATAATATAAAGTGTGTCCTCTGGGTGGCAGGTTTGTAACCCACCCCCCACTTGCCCTGTGCCATTCCCCCCTTCCTTATGATCTTCTACTTATAAGAACAGGAATAATTTATATCAGAAAAATGTAAAGTCAAAACAGGGTAAAGAGAAGCCTAATAAACCCCTCTTATTTTACAAATAAAAACAACAAAATGCTCTGATTTCAAAACATCTGATCAGTCATCAACCACGTCATTAGTTCAGAGAGCTTCTGGCCCTTGTGCTTTTCACTAATATCACACAAGGGAAGGGTATGACTCCATAGAAAGTGCTCTTCCTAGGCCTTTGAGATACCTTAACATTTAGGGATCCAAAGAAAAAAAAGGAGTTAGCCAAGGAGGCCGAAGAATTTATAATCTAACTGGGGAGAAGGAGTGAGTTCATAAAGTGGTAAACAGTTCAAAGTAATATGAATTATACAAGTTATAAGGATTATGAAGTCTCAGAGCAGGGAGTAATCACAGAGGAGATGAGTGGTCTAGGATTTCATCACATCAAATGCGGCAAGAAATAAACAGGTAGTGAGCAGTAGACAAGAAACTACAAAAAGGGTTGGCATATGTATGAAGGATAGCGACTTGACCATTCTAGCTGGAGTGGTGAGGGAAAGATTTTTAATGAGCTTTTAGAGGCCAGGCTAACAAGTTTGGATTCCACTGTTTAGGTATCAAGAAGAATTTAGTAATGTGCAAAGCCAGTCAGGTCACAGTTTCCCACATTTGCTCAACCTATTCCTCCTGTTTAATATGAACTCCTGACTCTTCACTGCTTCTTCAAGATCCAGGAACTTCAAGGCAGGACCAATCCCTCCCCTGTGAAGCATTCTCTGACCTCACACTCACTGTAATTTCTCTGTTGATCTTTAAGCATCAGTGCCTGTTTATTCAAGTACTATTACACTATAATAGGATATGTTCTTTACCCTTTACGTAGTATCTAATCAGGTTACAATCTACTTAAGGTTGGGCCCAAGTCTCATATTTCTTTGTGCTACCCACTGCATCTAGTTCAGTGCTTTACAAGTTGCTGGAACTCAATCAGCATATGAAGAGTGAATCAGAACTGGACTTGTAACAAGACAGAACTCAGAGAGATTCATGCTGATGGAGTTCAAAGACACCATGCACAATGGGAAATGAACTCAGAAGTACCCATGGGCCAAGTTAACACCAAATTACAGAGAGAAAAAGCTATTCTTTTCTAATTAGAAGCTTTCTCTTCTAATTATGTCAAAGAAAAGTCTCAGCTAATGCTAATATGTCTTTGATTACTGCCCCTTTTGAACAGCAGGAGCATTTCTTAGACTCAGAATTTTATAGTCAATAGTACTTTAGCTACACTGTTGGCTTAAGTGACAGTCACCATCAAAATTGTGGAGTTGAGCCTTATCACTTAATTCTCTCCAGGTCTAGGATTTTATGATTCCATGTCAACAACCAAATTCTTTACTCACTCACCAGGCTCACTTCCCCAGCCTGCTTCCTTGTCAAAGCTGTCACCATCCCTGCAGACCAGAAACTTTGGGATCTTTTTTGAAGTCACCTCTCTCGGTCTGTC